ACACAATGCCTCTGAATATCTTCATTAACTGCAGCTTAATTAAAGCCTTCACAGGATCATGTAGTATTAGTCCAGTACCAGGGTCTGTTTACACAAGAGAGGGAAATGGAGTGTTCCTTCCCTCTTTTGGATAGTGACCCTCTCTCCCAGCAATCTACCAGCACGTCACACAGCCCCTTGCTTTCATCTTTCCTTCCATGCCCTTTATACTACACTGACTCCCTGTAGAGGTGACAGGCCACTACCACCAGCTTTCAAGTGACAGGGTAGGCAGAATTTTTTAGGGCGTCCCAAAGTCTCTTGTGATGCTTTTACTATAAGATTTGAGTTTAATACAGTTATGAGATTTATGAGCAAGTCAAACAAAGATATGAGTACTCCACACATTTATTTATTTTAAATGTGTGTACCATTGAGAAGAAAAAAAAGTTGTTATAGCTTAGCGTACAACATTTGCAGCCCAATGGAACAATCCACTTCACACTTATAAGACTCCAAAATAAATGAACATAAATCCACCATTAACAAATCATCTACTGTAAGATAATATTTTTAATGATTTATTTATTACTTCCAAAATTCAATTTAATCAGAATACATGATTAATTTTCAGTGGCAATCAACTGAGGAAAACGCCTGTGCATGCATAATGGTGTACTTACAGCATCTACCTGCAGGGATTAACTTGACACTAACCAGCCAAACCCTGACCCTTTGGTCTTAAATGCATAGTACAGACAAGTATAAATGTGACTTCTACACTCTCTGACACAAATGTGAAACTCCTCCCCACTGATGTGAAACATACCAGACACTTGGTAACCAACCAACACTACTGTTTTTGTGTATGAATACACTGAATGAATGTTGAGTGGTTCATTGGTTAAAGATAGCATGGGCTAGCACATGATATGTTTACCGAACAGTTTTGAATAATAGCGCAATGGAACATGGGCCGTTAGTTGTGTTGAAACAAAGAAAGGTATGCATAATACTTCAAAAAATGATCAGTATGAGTTTTCTATTGAATTTCACAAAAAATTTTAAATAATAATATTCATACAACTAAAGACTACTATATGCCATTTCATACATTATGCAGACTGCAAAACTGATCTCTTCCTTGGAAAAATTATGATAATGCTGAGCCATTTGCCAAATGCGCTCCTTGTAGGTTTACCCCACCTGTGGGCACAGTGCGGAAAGCTTCCATTCCATTCCATTATCATTATGATGCATATTCTGTTATTTTGACTATTAAAAAATAGAAGAAATTCATGTGTACCACACCCATTAGTACACTGGTCTAAATCTAAACCAGACACATGTGACTAACTAAACTAATGTGTGTTTAAAATGGTGACAGCTAATATTAGCTCAGAGAAAGCATTATATATTAGCTATATTTCATATCAAACATAATATTTGATCTTTACCATTTATTCATTCTGGTGGTGTATGCGAAGTGGAGAGTTGCTGAACTGTTCTTTTCTATTTCAGAATAGTCCTGCCAAGATACAGGCAAAACACCAGACAGAGATATTTGCACAACCAAGGTCAAACATTTGATAATGTAATATCTTGTTTGTTCTTTTCAAACTCATGCTTCATACTGTGGGAAAGCAGGTGTCAATGGTATCCAAACTGTCAGAAAAATCTTACAGAGAAAACTGAATAATGCGATTTGGCCAATAAGGAGTTCTGATAACAGGCAACAATGGAATTATCAAAAATATAACATCATTACAGCCAATACAGAGCTACTATCTAAATCTAAGAACCTTGTTTTATTGATTGATTGACAGGTGAGAAGCTGCCATTCTGCTTTCCAGGGTGCAAAAGGACAAATTAGCATTTACACTACAACTGCGATGACATTTTTCAAAATATCTTCTTTTATGCTTCTCAGAAGCAAGTAAGTCATACAAACAAGTGATGGATCATGGAACGACATGAAGGTGAATAAATGATGGCAGAATTTTCATTTTTGAGTCAACTATTCCTTTATGACCTGGTGTAAACAGATTCATAGGATGTTTTCACACCTAATTCAGTTCAGGGGTCACTTTTGACGTATAAGGCAAAATGCAATAACATCACATTCACATGATAAATATAATGGGCTTCTGTATTTAAGATAGGTTAAACATTTCAAACAGGCCGGAGGAATAAAAGCACGATCGACTTTTGTGTAAATCTGCTTTCTGACCAAAAAGCCATTTTAAAAACCCTTCTGTAATACTGTGTCAATTCCCTCCAAGGACAAGAGAACAGGGAAAGAAATGGTCTCAAAGAATTTTAATCTCAAAAGCTGTTTTGTCCCATCCACACTGTGATAGCGTGAACCCAAACAATAGTTGCCATTTGCTGGTGTAACAAAAAAGTCACAGACTTTTTCTGCCAGACAGATCTGCAAGAGAGAAGACACTTAAGCTGAGTTTGATTCCAGCTCTCACATGAAATAGTGAATCAAAAAGTGTTTATAGATTTCTTTGATAACTTGCTGTATATATCTTTGAAAACCTTCTATACAAATCACTTTTTGTTTTTGAGCTTGTCATTTTTTCGGCATCGGATTTTAACCTCTGTTGAGTTTTGAAGATGTTTAGCTCGACCAGCTGTTTGTCTTCATTTGCTTATGCCCTGATGCTGTGGGCTTTGTTGCCACCTCCACTGGTCCTGACCTGCCAAGGAGATGAATTACCGCGTGACATGGTGCTTGGCTGGCTGAAAAGACGGATCCTTGAAGGTTTGGGAATGGATGAGCCTCCTCTGCCAGTGCTGCAGCTACCAACACAGCAAGCAGTGGACAAAGTTGTGCATCATGTAGCTTCACGAATGACTAGGGAGACAAGAGTGGAAAGAAGACACCATCAGGAGTCCTCACAGGTCATTCTGTTCCCAAGCTCAGGTGAGCTTGTTTCCTGTCCAGTAGCTAAATGAAAAACAATAGTGTCTAACATGATGATATTTGGTAAGATCCTCTGCTCCTTGTGGCCTGGGTCAATGATGTGATGATTATGTATGAATTTATGCATACTATTTTTTGAAGTGGAATTCATACAATGACATTAATACACATATTCTAATGCACATTCTAAAAGCATTTTTGCACATTCTAAAAGCAAAGTGTTTTTTGGGGGGGGGGGGTAATGATAGTAGTAGTTTGCCATTATTATTGTTGTTTTTTCAGCTTCACTACTTATAAATAGTTGAAAAACATTTGAAAGTAAAATCAAAGTCATTTGTTGTGAAGCAAAAGTCTGATATGACAATGGTACCAGTGTGTCAAGGTCAAAGTCTCTTAAAATGTCAGATAATTTGACTTTTTTATGACAAGGCAAGGTTAGATTGTAAAATGTCATGTAGTGCAACCTTCCAAAAACCTGATGATATTTATGAATTAACGTTTTTTTTTTAATAATTGTCAAGATGTGTATACTCACATTTTAAATGTGGTAGGGAAATATGTTATTATTTTTTATTTGATAGTTACACCACATGGCATTTTTAGAGTCATTATTGTTGAAAAGTATTGTATAAAAGTGTTTCAAAACCATACGACACCAACATGAACTGAAAAAGTACACTTCTAACAACGTAACACGTGTCTTAAACTAGATGTTTAAAAGATTTAATTAATATATTTATTTTTTATCATGAACACTTGTCATTGACCCACCTAAATTTTGAAAAAACAAAGAGGCTATTTTGACACATTAACATATAGTTTTAGTTGCTGTACATTCTGACCTTTCTTATTAACTTTCAGAGTCTACATGTAAAGACATGCCTGATAACTCTGAGGCTGCATCCAGTCACTTTACTTACTACTTTCAGCCCTCTCTGGACAGCCAGGACTCCATCATCACTTCTGCCCACTTCTGGTTCTATGCTGGAGAGGCCATTGTTTCTAGCAACATCTCGGCACCTCTTTTTATCCTCACTCCTTACCAGGAGCTGCTCCAAGCATCTGTAAGTCCAGTCAAACGCTGCACCGATGGCTGGACCACCTATAAGTTAGATCTCCATCTCCACATTACCATGGCTGTTGGCCCTTTCATGCTGCAGGTCCGTTGCCCATCCTGCAGTTGCTATGATTCAGAAGATAAAACACCCTTTCTGCACCTTCACACCCGTTCAAATGGTCCCGACCGTTCACGCAGGGCGCCCAAAATCCCTTGGTCACCGTCTGCTATCGAAAAGCTCATGAGACCTGCTTCTGACGACACAGATTGCAAAAGAGAGCAGATAGAAATCTCCTTCGAGGACCTCGGATGGGACAATTGGATTGTTCATCCTAAAGCCTTCAATTTCTACTACTGCCATGGCAACTGCTCCAGTGCTGAGCGCACTACTACCCTACTTGGGATCAACCAGTGCTGCGCTCCTGCTCCAGAGAGCATGAAGTCACTCCGTTTCACCACCACCTCAGACGGGGGGCATTCATTCAAGTACGAGACCCTGCCTAACATCATACCAGAAGAGTGCAACTGCATCTAACACTCTGCTGTGGCTTAGATTTAAGATTATCTGTAAAGTGTGGGAATGTTGTTGTTGTTGTTTTTTCAAACACAAATCAGCTATGTTAAATGAATGATCAAAGCAAATAATGTGTGCATTAAAATAGTGTGATAGATAACTTCTCTACTTGTGACTTTAATTTTAACAATGCTAACCTTCAGCAATATTACAATTTTATTAATACACAATCAAATGAGGATTGTTTTTCATATTTGCATATCTATTTCATTGTACTAAATTAAACAGCCATTTACAGAAAAGCATCTTAACCTTGTACACTAAGCTCTTTGAAAAACAATTCTAAAATACTTAAAAAATTGCACAACACCCAGATATCTATGAAAATAAATCATAAATGTTTGAAAAAGAGACATGTCATTATTATATAATCTTTGTCCACTTTTACCCTAATAACAATTGTTCACTTCTGCAGAAGTTAAAAAAATAATAAATAATAAAAAAAAAACACTATATAAACACTACATATTTTTGCTCTAGGCCATCATTCAAATGTGTTGATGATTAATAATGAATCTCAAAATGATGTTCAGAGGAATACATAAAGTGTAATGTGTTAAATGCTGTTGATTATTTAGCAGATACTTTAAAACAAGCTACAAACTACATGAATAGTTCCAAAAAGCATTTAGGTTTGCTCAGAGGCACAGTGAAAAGGGATATCTGTTCTACAATTTAAATACAGGACCTTTGGCTTACCCGGCCAGATTTTTAGCAGTTGTACCATCACACTCTTATAAGACTACAACATTCTGATTAAAATAAAAAGGTCAAATGCTGAAGGTAAGAAACAAATGACACATTTATTTTTAAAGGGGCATTAAACAATGTTGTATGTCACTGATATAACCATGGATTTGGATTCGAATGTCTAATATCAACATGGCAGCCACTGATAGAGGCATCCATTAAATACAGGTATTAACAGGTATTCCTATAGGCCACTGGCACAACTGGAGTCATTTACATAACATTTATTCATTATGTTTGTATGTAAAGTGACATACAAATGAGGGAAAACTAAAATAATTTATCAAACAATAATAATTATGAGCCTTCATCTCACATGAGTCTACATTTCAAACATTTTTTCTACTCATTTCATAAGATGTGCCAAATATATATACTTTACCAAAGACACAAATAGTGTGCGTCTATATAATGTCATTGCAAAATCTGAATTCCAGTTTCCCATAAATCCAATGTAAACCACAGATACCGTATGTTCCGTACTAAAAGTAATGCAGTTGCATGTTGCATAAATTATATTAATTTTATTCATTCATTCATTATTATTTTACAGTAATACAGGACATGAAACCTTTTAATAAACAATTCAAGCAATTTCCAGGTTCTTTATGTTTTTTCAAAATCTGGTCAGATGTGTTGCAATAATTTCATTCAAAAGTTCTAAATGCAAAATCCTCAAAATGCATATCAACAAGAAAAAAAGAACACCTTTATTGTGCCCTTGCTTCTAATAGAAAAAGGGTTTCCCTCAACCTACGATATTTACATATAGGACAATGTTCCAAAAATATTAGGCCACACAGGAAGACAGTACTCCAATCAAAAACCAACATAACATAAAACACAAGCACTTCTGTTTTTCGGACGAAGACACATCTTTCATTTCATTATAATAATCTGAACTCGATGGTCTGTGAATTTTGGCTAAATGCTTCAATTAATACTGATGTGCTAAAACTGATAATAATGAACAATACATACAAATATCTCCAACAACACAGGGAATGCGTCTTTGTTGTCATGCTGTTCTTTCAATATGAGCAAATATAATTTCTTTGAAAAGAAAGGTACAGTAGTGTGGATTTTAAGAGCTGGTGTTTCTCTAGTCTTTAAATTTGGCAGCTATATGGTTTTAATACTCAAAGTAACACTTCTTCTGATATGCATTTAGAGGAGCACACAAAATCTTGTCAATAATTGCTCTCCATTATTTGTTTCTGAGCTTTGAGTTTATCCATTCAATGCCAGATGAACAGGAAAAACACACAAAATCTTGTCAACGACTGCCCACCAAAATTTGCATCTCAGCCTGGAGTTGGTTTGTTTGATGGAAAGGCATTAGTCTCTTCAAGCATGACCCTCTTTAAAAACAGAAAAGGAAAACATATTATTAAATATTCATCAAATATTAAAAAAACAAATGTGCACAAAAATCACATTAAAACATGGCAATTTATACTGAGATGCACTTCAGATCTGATTGGAATTAATGATTTATATCTTATGAACAGAGTTTAAATAACTAAGTAACTTATTCACCAGCCAGTTTGGCAACTAAATTTTTAAACTTCTATCCATAACAAAAAATCATGCCCCAATAGATCATGTATGCCAGCACATGATTTCATGATGATAAAATTCCCATGAATTTTGCATTAGTATATTTACAGAAAATGTTTCTCACTGAAAGCTATAAGTTTGCCTGAAGTATTGCAATAAAGATGCCAGAGGGTGCTTTTGGTGTCTGCATGACAACACACAAAAGTCTTGGAAATGCAGCATTTATTGGATGCCTAGTGAGTGAGAACACGCTGAAAACGTGGTCTCTGGTCTCTTCCTGAGTGTACCGGAGTGTTATGCCTTATTTTGTTACTGCTAGCAATAATAATAATAATGATGATATGCAAAGTGATAAGCTAAATGTGCGGTCACATTAACAATCAATTTTTCAGAGAATTTCAGAAAAGGTCAACTGTCAATTTCAAACGAAGCCACTTTCTGTTCATCCGTTTTTTTTTTTTTTATTTGGCATAAATCTAACTTGAACGCAAGTGAAATCTACATAGGGACATTTTTGGCCCTGACGAGAAACTCCCAAATGCGTGGATTCCTGTTGAAATGACTAGATTTCGTCCACAATTTTTTGCCGAGCAATGGTAAATGTGACCACACTTTTCCTTAATGAGCTCATAGTGTTACCAGCCATGTTGATTTCCACCTGCATTTAGTGGGTTGGCGGGTGTTAATTTCAAATTGTACTTATACAAATGTGATGTGAAAGAAGTGTAGCCCAAAACAAACCTTTTTCCTTAGAGCTGACATAGCCCTCCTGAGCTAGGTTGAGTCGGTTTTGCTCAACGGCAGCGCTGTTAGAGTCTGGACCTACATCCTCAGAGTGGTAGGCCTGTTCCAGATGTCGCTGTGCCATTTTCAGGTGTCTCCGTAGACGCTCTATATCACGACCAGTGTTGTCATCACCCAATGACTCCCGTCCCGACTCTTCCAGGACCTCAGCCTTAAGCTTGCTAGTGGAGTCCTTTTTCAGGACAGCCTGATATCTCGGGGGTGCACTAGCAGGGCGGTGACAGATAGTGGATGTGGATGACCTGTGTATGGGAGGCCTCCGAGCCGATCGACTACGGAGAGTGTCCTTCACACCACCAATTGCCAGATGAAGGATTTCCAGCACAGTCAGCACCAGGCAGAGTATACTGACAACATACATGAGGACCAGGAAGATGGTCTTTTCAGTGGGACGTGAGACAAAGCAGTCCACGGTGTGTGGGCATGGGCTTCGGGTGCAAATGTAGGATGGCGCAACTTCAAAACCATACAAAACATACTGGCCAAAAAGGAAGGCCATCTCAAACGCTACACGAGAGATCAACTGTAGCACATACACCTTCATAAGACCATCTTTCTTGATGCGACGACGGCCGTCATGCTTCGTAGACGTAGCATTGGATGCAGTGGCAGACTTGGCTGCAGCTACCGCTTTACTATGCTTTTTAGAGGGCACAATCTCCTCCAAGATCATGGGAACTTCATCATCCATTTCGTCAGCCTCGTCATAGCCACGACTCAGTCCTCGATGAACCAGGATATGTCCCCCTATCCTCATTGGTTAAGAGGGTAAAAACTCCCCTCGACATGCCTATATAAGATCTGTATTTCTGTGAATAAATTGAAGTATTGAGAATACATGGACTGTGTGTTTTCTTACTTCCCGGCCGTATTTATTTACACTTGGAGAGACTGAGAAAATTTCACGGTGGCAAAGAAAATATCGAGGGACCAAATTGTTATTTTTATTAACATCAGCATATAATGGTGAACCCTCTTTATGGAAATCATGTTCAGCCCAAAGCATTTGCAATGAATTTCGAGGGGGGACGGTTTCAGTTCCAATTTTTTTTTTTTTTGGAAATGTAAATGATTTCTATTGGTATTTTATCCATTTAATAGCCTACGAAAGCGATCCAATTCTGCACATAAATGTAGCGCAGTATATAATAAAAATGTAGCCTGATATTTGTGTCTATGGTTAGCTGCGCAATCTCGGTTTTTCTGTGATTAGGGAAGGCATCTGTAAAGGCTTTTCAATCGCCCATTTGGCCAAATAGTTAAGTGGGTGGGATGACTATTTTAGTCAAATTAATCACATTCAATTAACTAATTTGATATAAGGACTTTTTATGTGATATTTTATATTTTATCACAATAGATTATTTGTTTTAAACTCATGAATATAATGCTTTGTTCATATTGTCATCAGATGCGCCCATGTTTTTATACACAAAATGGAATAAAACATTGGTGCCAAAAAGTGACTTTAAAAATAAATTTGAATTTTTTTTAATTAAAAAAAAAAAAAATTCTAAATAAATGTTAAAATAGTGTTCAATAAGTATACTGTCATCCATGTGTGTACACATTTTTATTATAAACTATTGAAATCAGTACACAAAGTCAGATCAAACTATGGTAAATTTTTGTTTTGGCCCTTGGTTTAATGTCACTTAAGTCCTTCTTGTTCTCATATGTATTTTTGCCAGTCATTTTTGTTGCAACAAGACATGAAAATTAAATATAATAATAATAATTATAATAAGAATAATAACTATTATTATTATTATTATTAATTAGGACAATAACTCAAACATGAGAAAATAATTAATTTCGTGTTTGTTACGTCCTTTAATGGAAATATACTGAGTAGCTGCATGCCAACATCAGTGTTTCTGTCTAACCTAAAATAAGTTTTTCTTGATGAACATTCTTTTTCTAGTTACAAAATACACTTCTGCTTCCTTTCATTCAAATTGTAATTTTGTATCTTCTTTGCTACCTCACTTCAAATTAAATTAAAATTGAATTGGAATTAAACAGGCATTCTCAATTCTACAGGGCACACAACCTTGTCATATATCAGTATCCAAGAAAAGCAATCCCCAAAATATAACAGGGCCAAGCTGCAACTTAAATAGGCTACAATGTTCAAGAATTTTTCTCTTTCATTTAATTTCCTTAAACATTTCAGATGCGGCAACTCATTTTCCCTCACAAACACAAAATATTGCTACTATGGGTTTGACATGTCTATGCAAGGTTTATAGGATGTTGCAGCAGCTATCCAGTTGTATCTGTGTTTAATATAATGGTTTTGCCTGAGGAAGACCTTAGGGTTGAAACATTGTGAATTCAATAAACTTAAGTTTTTTAGAGAGCAGTAAGTGGAAGTGTGCCAATTTTTGTTTATTGACAGTGAAGTGCTCCATGTGATGGAGCACCTGCCTAAAGTTTTAAGATGTGTGCATATTACACTTTCTTTGTGTTTAATATATACATTTATTTCTTTACCATGTGTCGGACAGCTCATAATAATGTTTGAGAAAAAAAATACAGATTACTAATTTGACTGTATTCAATATAACTGTGAAGTTAATAATGTGGAGATTTCTAATGTCTTTTTTGTCATAAAACTTGGTAACACAATGCATAAAGTGATTTCACACTTCACAGTCAGCAAGCAAGAAAAGATCACAAGACTAATTGCTGCAACACTGCTATCATACAAAAAGAGAAAGTGAGAGAAAAGAAAAACATACACATCAACAATATCAGTAAAGAAAGAAAGAAAGAAAGTTTCATCATAACAGACTGAAAACTGGTAATGAATAGAGTGGAAATATTACTTTCTAATATATGTAAAAATGAATTGAAAAAAGTATAACCAACATATTTGTCATAGCAGCAAATACTCAACCTATGAATTTTAATATATCACTTAAGAAAAAGTGAGCTCATACTGAAGTAATCTTTGGAGAATGAAAAAGAACAGAACAGAAATACAGCAGAAACTGAATGACTTGTTTTCACAGTGGAATAATTTGAAACTTACCAAAAACATAATTACTCATTCAATTATGTGCAACAATCATTCTTAGATCTATCTCTCCCTCTGCAATCTATTGGACATAATGAAAAGCTGTGCAATATTTAAAGAGTTTATTGTTTACAAAAATAAAAGTTATTATTATTCCCTACTGGAGATCAGTACAAAGATGAATAAATACACATGAAATACATTTTACAATTACTGACAATGTGCTTTCAACTTTGTTAACAACGTGTACTTATAAAACAAAGCCATTTCACTATTTTTCAAGCAATTATAAAGACATAAAAGTGCAGAACATCCGAGTGACAAATGACTTGGCACAAAACTGCAAATGTGGTTGTACTAAATTTTCTATTCATAGCTATGGTTTTAATACTCAAAGTAACACTTCTTCTGATATGCATTTAGAGGAGCACACAAAATCTTGTCAATAATTGCTCTCCATTTTTTGTTTCTGAGCTTTGAGTTTATCCATTCAATGCCAGATGAACAGGAAAAACACACAAAATCTTGTCAACGACTGCCCACCAAAATTTGCATCTCAGCCTGGAGTTGGTTTGTTTGATGGAAAGGCATTAGTCTCTTCAAGCATGACCCTCTTTAAAAACAGGAAAGGAAAACATTAAATATTTATCAAATATTAAAAAAACAAATGTGCACAAAAATCACATTAAAACATGGCAATTTATGCTGAGATGCACTTCAGATCTGATTGGAATTAATGATTTATATCTTATGAACAGAGTTTAAATAACTAAGTAACTTATTCACCAGCCAGTTTGGCTACTAAATATTTAAACTTCTATCCATAACAAAAAATCATGCCCCAATAGATCATGTATGCCAGCACATGATTTCATGATGATAAAATTCCTATGAATTTTGCATCAGTATATTTACAGAAAATGTTTCTCACTGAAAGCTATAAGTTTGCCTGAAGTATTGCAATAAAGATGCCAGAGGGTGCTTTTGGTGTCTGCATGACAACACACAAAAGTCTTGGATATGCAGCATTTATTGGATGCCTAGTGAGTGAGAACACGCTGAAAACGTGGTCTCTGGTCTCTTCCTGAGTGTACCGGAGTGTTATGCCTTATTTTGTTACTGCTAGCAATAATAATAATAATGATGATATGCAAAGTGATAAGCTAAATGTGCGGTCACATTAACAATCAATTTTTCAGCAAATTTCAAAAAAGGTCCACTGTCAATTTCAAACGAAGCCACTTTCTGTTCATCCATTTTTGTTTTATTTATTTTGCATAAATCTAACTTGAACGCAAGTGAAATCTACGTAGGGAAATTTTTCGACCTGACGAGAAACTCCCAATTGCGTGGATTCCAGTTGAAACGATTAGATTTCGCCGACAATTTTTTGCCGAGCAATGGTAAATGTGACCACACTTTTCCTTAATGAGCTCATAGTGTTACCCGCCATGTTGATTTCCACCTGCATTTAGTGGGTTGGCGGGTGTTAATTTCAAATCGTACTTATACAAATGTGATGTGAAAGAAGTGTAGCCCAAAACAAACCTTTTTCCTTAGAGCTGACATAGCTCTCCTGAGCTAGGTTGAGTCGGTTTTGCTCAACGGCAGCGCTGTTAGAGTCTGGACCGCTGCTATGTGAAGCCCCTACATCCTCAGAGTGGTAGGCCTGTTCCAGATGTCGCTGTGCCATTTTCAGGTGTCTCCGTAGACGCTCTATATCACGACCAGTGTTGTCATCACCAAATGACTCCCGTCCCGACTCTCCCAGGACCTCAGCCTTAAGCTTGCTAGTGGACTCCTTTTTCAGGACAGCCTGATATCTCGGGGGTGCACTAGCAGGGCGGTGACAGATAGTGGATGACCTGTGAATGGGAAGCCTCCGAGCCGATCGACTACGGAGAGTGTCCCTCACACCACCAATTGCCAGATGAAGGATTTCCAGCACAGTCAGCACCAGGCAGAGTATACTGACAACATACATGAGGACCAGGAAGATGGTCTTTTCAGTGGGACGTGAGACAAAGCAGTCCACGGTGTGTGGGCATGGGCTTTGGGTGCAAATGTAGGATGGCGCAACTTCAAAACCATACAAAACATACTGGCCAAAAAGGAAGGCCATCTCAAACGCTACACGAGAGATCAACTGTAGCACATACACCTTCATAAGACCATCTTTCTTGATGCGACGACGGCCGTCATGCTTCGTAGACGTAGCATTGGATGCAGGAGTAGACTTGGCTGCAGCTACCGCTTTACTATCCTTTTCAGAGGGCACAATCTCCTCCAAGATCATGGGAACTTCATCAGCCTCGTCATAGCCACGACTCAGTCCTCGATGAACCATAGAAAGTTTGTGCTTACGTGGTCGGTATTCGTCATCAGCCATTCGAGCAATTTTGTGCATGGCAAAGCCGAGGTATATAATGGACGGTGCGGTGATCATAATGATTTGAAAAACCCAGAATCGGATGTGTGATAGAGGGGCAAATGCATCATAGCATACATTATTACAACCGGGTTGTGCAGTATTGCATACAAACTTTTCCTGTTCATCTTGATAGATTTTCTCACCGCCCACCACTGTCAGAACAATTCGGAAGATAATGAGGAGTGTGAGCCAAATCTTTCCCACAAAAGTGGAATGGTGGGAGATCTCATCAAGCAAGCTAGTCAAGAAGTTCCAACTCATGGTGCCACCAAAACAAGAAACCTGATCTGCAGAAGAAAAAATAAAAGAAAAAAAAAGGTAGTGGGATAATAGAGGCTTTGCATATGGGACACACAACTTCACAATTAAAAAGGTTAAAGTGTTCTCCTTTTTGAACATGTATGCAGTAACCAGTGCATGTAATTATAGTGCATGTTTAACGCTGTAACAATGTATATTATTATTTGACATTGTACTTCATTCTTTTCTGTGATGATGAAAGTCACCAGCAGGTGTCAGTGTTCATAGACACACACACACACACACACTTGATACGCCCACAAACATCATTTACAGGCTATAACTTCTGTTTATCAGCATATAATGGTGAACCCTCTTTATGGAAATCATGTTCAGCCCAAAGCATTTGCAATGAATTTCGAGGGGGGACGGTTTCAGTTCCAATTTCTGTTTATTTTTGGAAATGAAAGTGATTTATAGGCATTTTATCAATTTAATAGCCTACGAAAGCGATCCCAATTTTGCACATAAACGTAGTGCAGTATATAATAAAAATGTAGTGTGATATTTGTGTCTATGGTTAGCTGCGCAATCTCGGTTTTTCTGTGATTAGGGAAGGCATCTGTAAAGGCTTTTCAATCGCCCATTTGGCCAAATAGTTAAAGGGGTCACATGATGCGATTTCAATTTTTCCTTTCTCTTTGGAGTGTTACAAGCTCTTGGTGCATAAAGAAGATCTGTAAAGTTGCAAAGACTCAAGTCCAAAGAGATATTCTTTATAAAAGTTAAGAGTCAGCCACGCCTACTTAAAACGGCTCGTTCTAACACGCCCCCACATATCTACGTCAATATGTGGAAATATTAGCATAATGCCGCCCAAATGTGCACATAAAGAAAGAAGGCGTAACTTTTATTCTCGCTGTAGTATTGTTGTTGCCGCCGCTGCCATGTCGTGAAGGCACTGTGTGAGTCGTTGTGAAAGCGAAACTACTTTGTTTGGCCTTCCAAAAGAGGACGATATCTGCGTCGTCATGCCTGGAGCTGATCCGTGCTGGTTGCTGAGGAAATACTGCAACTTCGCGCTGTGGATCGCCGGATCGGCTTTCACCGTGGACGAAGTGGAGTCCAGCCCGGGGTCGTCACATGTGGTTGCCGCAAGCCCTCCGGACGCTCCTTCGTCGAATCTGCCACCTCTGCTCACTCAGCCC